TTCTTGCTCAGGCTGGTTTCAAACTCCTGAGCTCAAACAATCCGCCCGCCTCGGCCTCCCAGAGTGTTAGGATTACAGGCGTGAGCCACTGCGCCCAGCCTAATTTTTCTATTTTAAAATATTTATTCTAATTGTGCTTGCCCTCAACTCCTCTTCTAATTTCCTCTTGGTGAAGTCATATGAGAAATTATGATATGCCATTATTAGGAAAGATTCCAGGGCAAATGAATTGGCAGACAAACCACTGCAGTCACTCAGGAGTACTGTCTTCACAGACCAAAATACAGTTCACGGAATCAGCATGAATCTACAATCACCTGTGTTGAGTCTGAAGTGTCTCTTCATACATTTGCTCGAAGACTTTTTCTCTTGTTAACGACACTATAGTACGTATATTCTCCACAGCTTCAGTTGCTATCTTATAAAATAAGACAATACAATAAAGAAAGAAAGTTAGTAATGGCTAAACTTTTCCTGGTTGTGAATTCCTGTCAGTCTGGGGACATATTAAGTACATCAAGCCAGTAAGTTTTCCTGACAAGTATTTTTAGCTTCCTTCCCCACCACCTCTCACCAAAAAAAGATCGGAAAATGACACTTCAGGATGATAAACATAAGGAAAATTTCTTTTGAAAGATTTAGTCCACTGATGTAAGTTTAGTCCCCTTCAAGTTTTCACTGAATTTCAATTTAAACTGGTTCCACAGGCGAGGGAATCAAATATTAGTGAGCATTATGTTCACATGCAAAGGAGCTTCCTGTAAATTATGAAATAATTGAAGTAAAAGATAGCAGAGAGAATCAAATAATTACTTTATTCCAGTACAGAAATGCAAATAGCAGCCAAAAAGGACTCAGGAACATTTGAGTAAAGTGACACAAGCTGTGGCTCTAAAATTCTTTATAAGATAAAGCCAGTTTTCATCTTGATGTCTGTGAACTTAAAACTGTATTTAATTCAAGTATGATTAATGCCCCTTAATATTTACATAGTTTTTAAAAAGAATGCATAATTACATGGGATTCAAAATGGAGAAGCCTTGGCTTAGAATAATAACCTTTTGGACATGAGAACACATGTAGGCTTGAAAGAGAAACTTCCTGTTTTCACATTCTATTTCCGGGCTGGCAGAGTGGGCTGGGGACACAGGAGACGTGGGTGGACACTCAGAATTATCTGAAGAACTACTTGGGCTGCAGGAGAGAAGTAAATCTCTGACTGTGATCAGGGTGCCTAGATTCTGCTCTCAATTTTGATGTTGAGTTGCTTTAAATTCTCGTTAATTTCAAAACGAACTCAAAGAGACCTCCATTTGAAAATATTCTGTAGTATGCAAAGAAAATGGACAAGAATGCTGAAGTCTTGTTTGAGGGAAAAGAAATAAATGTAAAAATCTTTGTGACCATTTTTCACAACAGAGAAAGGACTACTATTACAGAACCTTAGAAAACAGTCTTTTAAAAAAACTAATAATGTCATTTTAAGTCTAAAAAATAAAACGTGATGATTTGTCCAAATCTACACATGCAGCTGAACAAAGACCGATGTATTTTATTGGTCTAAATTCTAAATTGGTGTTTGGTAAATTGACATATTCAAAGCCATAGGGAAAGGCCTCAGATTGCCTATTTGAGTGGAGTTACTGACTGTGTAGTTCAAAGTTATTCCAATGACACAAAAAAGAAATGTCAAAGGGCACAGTTACGACTAAAGATCGGGACAAAAAATAAGACACTTAAAATATAATTAATTGGGCCTTGTTAATTTACAAATTGTGCAAATTATCGCAATGTTGATATCACACAGGGTGGGCTAAACAACTGTCTACTGCCTCTGAGGCAAATATTTGTTAAGTAGCTCAGTCTATAGAGCACAAGCAAACATTCCAAGGGTCCTTATCTAGTGCAAGAAAGGTGGAAAGGTCCAAGGGTTGGGCAAACCAGATTACGATGGTGAGTAATGTGCTTGCCATCTTTGTTCATGAATATTCATGATATTTATACTGTGCCAGCTGTGATACAGTCACTGTGACACAGACTATAAATGATATTAAAATCAATTTCATATTTGGAGGATGTTCACCAATGTGGTAAAGATCGCTGAAACCATATCATGAGAGGAGCAGTTTAAAGACCTGGATGCATGGCCAACAGAAGACTCACAGTTTACATGATTCAGCTTCTGAAAAGTTGTCACAAAAAACAGTCGTTGGACCTTTATCACAATGGAAGCCAAGAAGAGTAAGATAGGAGGTCACCACAAAACAAAAATACCACAAAACAAACTGCCTACTACCCAAGGCTATCCAAAGGTAGGGCAGCCTGGGAAAGCCACGTACCACCTATCACTGGAGAGAAAGGGGGCACAGAAGATGCAAGGACACTGGACAGGAATGTTGTATGAGGGACTCCTACTTTGGGTGAGTGACTGAATCAAATGATGGCTCTTTTAATTCTTAGGTGTTATGATTATACAACAATGTTTCCCTAAATCTCTAATACAATAATTATTTTTATGAATATGGTTGATCCTAAGAAGCTTACATACCTGTATGTCAAAGCATTTTCCAAATAATTAAATAAAGTGTTCATTTTGATCAGTATAAGAATGTGCTTGTCTCTGAAACCTTATTTTAGGCACTGTCAACATCAGTGCATTGCCTTGTGTTCAGTAACTGCTAAACTTCCTGTTTATTTTGAAAAATAAAATACCCACAAGAATTGCTCAAGAACATTTAATTATTCAATGATCAGAGAATGGGGAATCATGACGTTAGAAAACTCTCCCATGATATGGTGGCAGTATTAATGGCTGACATTATTAAGTGCTTACTGTCTTCCGTGCACTATTCTAAGTGTTTTGCATAGAATAATGCTAAGTGTTTTATGCAATATTCACAAAACTCTGTAAGTGGATACTATTATTATTCCCACTTTATAGATGAGAAAAGTGAACTCAACAAAGGTTGACCTAACTTGCTCATATCACACATTTATTAGTGATAGAATCTGGATTCTGACTGAGCCAGTTTGAATCCAGAGCCTTTGTTCTAAATCATGCACCCTATCACTTTCTATCCTAAACTGTTCTGTATGCATTTCAATATATATATATACCACTTTACAGATTCCTAAGAGATGATGTTAACATATCATAAAGATGGAAGCTCTGATTATGTTTCTCTTAAAATGTTGTGATGGTAATAACAGTCTTCATTTTACCTTTCCAGCTCGCTTAAGTTCTTGCTTATTCTTGTTGGCAAATCCAGTCATTGTTGAGGTTTCAATCATTCCTGTCAGAGCAAGTACTGGAGCAATACTCAGAATCAAGAGTGTCATCTCCCATCCATATATAAAGGAAATGATAACTGACAATCCCATGTTAGTTGCATTTTGTGTTAAGACACCAACCCTTGAACCTGTTGCCTATAATTGGACATATTTTGGGAAAAAAAATCAGTTAACTTTAAATTAACAAGAATTCCTATTATAGTTCCTTGCAAAACAAGGTAGACATTCTTTTTTTTTAGGATTTATACTTAGATTTATACTTTGAATTTATATTTAGAGATTAAATAAGACACATATTTTTTAAATGGCCTTGACTAATGAATCATTTTGTTTCATTTTTTGGTCTTATGTCCAGTATTGAGATGCCCAAATCAACTGGATTTTAGTTTAGTGGAATGCCATAGGATAGAAGACTGTATAGAAAGATGAT